AGGAAATTGTTGACTCAGCATACGGAACACATGCCCTGGCCGTCTCAATCAACGTAACTTCACAACCTCATCTTGCTTTTCCTTGTCATGTCCAGCTACGTTCAACTTCATGTGAGCTAAAGTGATTTGAATCGTTCAGCAATAATGTTGCATCTTTTGTTGTTCTTACTCCAAGGAATTGGATGTAAACTTGTGTTGATCTAGTTGATTTTCAGAAAATTTATTAGCATTTCAAGTCACTAATTGCATCTATATGCGAAGTGAACATTTATTAGAAACAGAAACAGTACTTAGTGGAATGAATCCTGAAAATTTACGAAAGTTATTGGTAAACTTGTTGTGAGAGCTGGCTGCTAGCCAAAGTTGGTAGACAGTAATTGACGTCAATGTTTATGTCCCCAATATTGGCGGTGAGAAAATGAGAACAAAGGCTTTGCGTAGGCGGATACAGTTAGCATATGGATGATCTGACACAGCCACAAAGAGATTCAAGGTTACCTTTCTGTGAGAAACAACCAACCAAAAGACTGTAATTTCTACTGACAATAATCTACATTAAAATCTAAAAATATGGGTTGATTTTCCTTAATAAACGATCTGTTGCCTGGCCCTTGTCTTATGTTGTTACAAACTTACCTGTCTACACAGTAAGTGAGTGAGTATAACAGAAACATTTTTTAGACGCAAACTTTGTGAAATATGAGCACACGAAGAGATACGTCACATAAAACACTCTATGGTAAAGCAGTGGAATTACTGATGAAGAGGATCATGAAAACAGACAAGCATACTTATCAAGGGAATTTAGAGAGCATGTCCACCGTTGATTACATGCAATTCTCAGTGATATGTGATAACGTCTCAGATCATTGTTTCGGATTATCTCTCGGACCCTACCCACGGAAACGTGATGTACAAGCAGATGCTAACCTAACACAACCATCCTTTATTAAATAGAGCCACTTCAGGTGTTGGTCGCCTCTACGCTTTTTCCATCCACTTCGTGGATGACAGTCACAGCACACGTCTCAGTCATCAACACCAACGTTCCAAGAAGACATAGTTTATTTCAAGATGACCTCCACCATGTCGAAACACATGCCATCAGAATTACTTATACAATGACGCTACTGGATGCGAGTAATTCTGGCAAGGCAGTGATGAGCTGCAGAATCACCACAACTCGGAGGTTAGGTTTCAAAGACGTGGAGCAAGACTGTACGCATCGAAACAGAAACAGAGCTGGCCCAGCTTAGTGTATACCACTCAGGCTTTTACTACACGGTAAGAGATCGCATCCGTCACACTTCTAACCTCGTACAAATCACTACATAAGTGTAAAAGAAAGCCAGGAAACACTACAGACCGAAGGCGTTTGTGTATAGCAGAAAAAGGCATAATGCACTATACAAAGGTCATTAGTACAACAGTTAAGAGTATACTGATAACAAGCAGAAGTGAAATCTTTTTTACTTCAGAATCTGCACTATGAATTCTAGTTCTTCAGTAGAAAGACCATCGTTTATTCAAACGCTTTGGAGATATTGGCTAATAATCTTTTGAAGTATTATAAAACCAAATAATAAATAAGTGAATAGAAAGCTTACAGTGTGAAATTATAGATACAGTTTAACTTAATATACAAGAAATTGATTATAAATTCCTATAAGCATTCATTTACCTCGCCTAGTTAACTGGCTCGCTAGTTTTCCAGCAGGTTTCAAGTCCTGGTAAAGAAGGAGAGTTGGGCGTGGGGCTAGCGACCCTACACCACAAAACCAATCAAACTACTACAAAAACTTCAACGCACAACAACAAATAGAGACCAAGACGGAAATTAAATACCTACGCGTCATTCTATCTGCTTATCTCTCCTGGTCGTCTCACATCTTAGCGATTTCTAAGAAAATATTCTGTCTTACCCTCTACATCAAGAAGTAAAGACATTCTGGTATTACCCAACCCTTACTCCTACAATTCGTTAGTTCTCACATTCTGCCTATTATTCTCTATTGTTCCCCCTTAGTTTTTCCTGGGCTACTGAAGAAAGACTATAACACATTACGGAGGATGTTAAAGGTTGTCAGCAGGGTGAACAACGTGCCACTTAACCAGCTTGTTAATATTCTGGTCGACTGGCACTTGAACTCATGTGAAAAATGGGCTAAATCCATTTTATCTAACTCACACCACTCTCTTCATTCACAACTCTCCCATTGCATCTCATCACGCAAAAGCAGAAGCCAATATAGAAAACTGTATGTTCGCACCAGCAAGTACAAAAACTCAACCAAACCCTACTTGGCTCGTGTTCTGTGCGATAAAGAAAGCATTAGGCGTGACACTTATAACTCATTAAATAGTCAGTAGAACAACTGGATCTCGTCTTTCCAGCTCATATCATTTATAGGTACAACATCCTCTTTCTTTCTTTTCCTTTTCTCTCTCTTTTTTGCGTTATGTGCTGCTTTGTTTCTTTCTCTCGCTTACACCAGTAAATATGACAGCTCCTACTCTTCTAACGCCTTCAAACACTGTTACAGCTTTAACTTTGCTACCGACATCCCAATATGTTGTTGTCACAATGAACTGAGATTTCCTTAATCTATGTAGAATTCTATTTATTGATAATGTACTAACTGGATGCAATACTGTAGTAAAAATGCTGAGAATTCCATTCTGTATCACAAGTTCTGTTTTGGAATAAAGCAAAATTATTATTATTATAAAAATACAAAATAATTAAAACACAAAATTATTCTTCGCTGAAATCGGAGAGGCGAAATGACACAGCCAGCTGGTGAAAGCCTTCAGGAAGCCAGTCAGGAAACGTGTACAAATGTTCTAGGGAGAAAGAAGATACAAGACAAGGAATGGCTCTCAACGGACATCTACCTTGAAGCTTAATAGAAGAGAGAAGAGGAGGATGAAAGAGAAGATGGCTCAATACAAATATGGACAAGAGAAGAAGCTAAGTTCACAGCAAAGTACACTGCACTGAATAAAGTAGTGAAGAAGAGTGTTAGGAAAGACAAAAGACAATTCTACGACACATTCGACCGCCGACAAATCCAATGGAAATAGAAAGGCTTGAAAAATGTTCAGCCATAGGTTGACACACTATAATATCAGGCGGTAAAATTGATTTTGAAATCATTCGGAAGAAATCTAGAAATTTCAAAGAGCGGCTCATCGCAAAGACATTTCATCATAATAAATGGTATCTGAATCTCCTGGATAGGAATGATGGATTAAGACAGAATTTGACTTGGTCCCAACAGTCCCCCTACCTCCATGAAGTGACGAAATCGACACACACACGCACAAATGATAAGCAATTTCATCATGTAAGCAAATGCTCTTTGTCTTAATCATACACTTATCACATTCAACAATCTGCACATGGTTAATTAAAGTTCATCATTTCCCCATTTGACAACGCAGAAATAACCTCGTACTGAAGAACAACGATTAAGTTACCGTATATAAGCTAAGCTTTTGTAAATCCTAGTTTAATATTACTACTTTAATAAATCTATTTGGCAGCATTAAACAGTGAAACATCAGTACGAAAACAGTGTTGTTCTGTTTTTTTTTACACTCATTGGGGAATATATATATAAACTTTCATAGGTCATGAAACTAAGCAACACTTTAACCAGCATAAAAGCAGCCTTCCACAAGTTCCAGTATACCATTTCGACAGTTAATCCAGTCTAACTTTAAGGATAGGATACCACTTTTGGCCACTTCAATGTGTATTTATCAATTTACTTGCTCGTGTGGAGCAAAGTATATCGACCGTACACAACGTTAAGTGCACAAAAGTATTCTGGAACACTATTCAGCTTGGTTAACCAGAGAAGAAAAGAAGAATAGCTGCAGCTCTATCCCCGAACACCTTGTCATCTCCGGACATCGAGCAACCCCGCATGAATGCTTCACAGTGCTACACTGAGTCTCTCAATAGCATACAAAGGGACTTCGGACACGCCATCTGTACATAGCTGAATCATTAGCTATTCGGGATCTGAAACCGGACTTCTGCATTCAAAAGCGATACATACATTCACTCGCCCTACCGTGGCCAGAGTAAAGTTCTTACTATAATTTTGCTTCTATATTTTTTATTATGTAAGTTCATTATTATTATTTTTACAATTACTACTATTTTATTATCATTATTATTCCCATCATCCATATTTTATTACAACTGTATTACTGTTTAGTAATAACATTGCTTTTTCAAACAGATTTTATATAAAAACACTTTACCGCCTTTCCACTAGTTCCTGTCCATTCTACACGAGCTTATTGATTAGTCATTATCTCACACTTATTACGTCATGCCAACTTCTGCCTCTTTTCTAACTTACAATTAGTCATCCCTTCTAGGTTACACCTTAAATTATGTAATACACTTTCCGAGGACAAAGTTTACCAGTGTCTTATTCATCTAAAGAATTCTTTGTTTAATATAATTACGATTGTACAGCTCGTGAAAATGAATCGTCGAAAAGGGGAAATTTTCTTTGCTGTTTACGTCTTTTTCTTATGACTCAATATGAGAATATTCCGCTTATTGAAAGAGCTTTCACCAGCCCGCTCCCGTGTGGCAGATGTAGATCATAGCCAAGTGCATGAACATGCACACGATTGCTGAGTAACTTTCATTCTGTCAATGATAAACTTTTCAACTAAGTGACAACTATTGAACAGAAAGTCTTATGATGATTATTGAGAATTAATTCATCAAAATGTACGTCAATGGTTCAGTAGCAGACTGGTTGCCAACCACTCCCGTGGTCTGGGTTCGATTCCCAGCCCGCGCACTCCTAAACATCGCCTAACTCACTGACCAATAGTAAGCCTGGGGAAGAATGAAGGTCGAGGGAGATACTTTCAACGTCACTCCAGAAACTTCAAATCTTGAGAGCTCAGAATGCAAAGAAATGAACAAAACTCCACCCAGTAGTAAAAAATTGATTATTTTATATTCACTAAGAAGAAGATTCTTCATTTTCTTGTTTTTCTTTAATAGAAGAAACTTCTTTTCTCCATTCTTTTAACCTTGACCATTGCGATTCTTTACGTGTACGCGGCGCTAACCATGCACTACGATTTATATTCACAGTATTTTGGAAGTAGGTGACACGTTCCTCTTCGTCTAAAATTTCTCTCAATTTTTCTTTAGCACTTTTAATAAGTTTTTGACGAGTTTCTTCTTTCATCTTTTCAGCATATTCTTTTTCACGTTCTTCATTAAATTTACCGTATAAATTTTTAATGGCTTCAATTTCTTTTTTCATACAATCTGGATTATTGATAACACCATTGTAGACGAAATCTTCAATTACAGTGAAGATGTTTGATGAAGTTGACTTGTCTGATTCACCGTGAATACGCTAAAAGCAAGTGGTCAGCTTAATCGACAAACTGCATACATACCATTAATTCATTCTGTACAGCTTTGACACTCGATACAGTTGGTAGTTCTGGTTCTCCACGATTTAAAGGTGAGTCATCAGGACGTGTTTTACACGTGTCGACTATTTTGATAAGCTTTTCAACCTAAATATATATTTATTTTTAAAAAATCACACTTCACATGATACTTACCGCAACAGGATCAATTCCAGCAGATTGAACAACTGCTGAACCTTTAATTTCTTTTAATTCAGTTAACAAATAATCACATTGTTCTGACAAAGCAAGTCCAAATACTCTTGTCATGAGGCTTAAACTATCTATAGATTTAGAAAGATTATTCCAAGCTGGAGAAGCTTGAAGCACAGGACGTCGTTTGCTTAACGCATGAGATAAATGCAACAGTGTATAACCCAGTTTTAATCTAGGCCGTGTAATATCAAAAAAGTTGTCATAGTTTGGATTTCTGATATACGGGACAAATTTGTATTCAATCTGAAAAAAGAAGAGAAGAAGAAGGAGAAAGAGGTCTGTGAACACAAAATGCGACCTGAACACATCATAGACAAGAATCATTGAAATTAAGGATATTTGGCAACCATTTATTTCTTAGAATCGTGTACACCTCCTTCAAGGAAAACGGTTAACACATGCCATACATAAATATTGTATGAATATAATAGTAGAATTTAGGCATTGGGGTAGAGGATAACTAAATATTACTTAAGTTTATGTGATATAGCATACCATGATACAGTATTAATGACTGTATGAAGTTCCGAGCCTCCAAAGCCTCAGGATGGTCGGGGGTGGGTGCCTTGCGCTGCGGGTTGGCCACCCCTACGCACACCTCTTCAAATGCCCCCATATGACCGGGCGTCTTACATAGCCTCTCCTGAGGAAGTCCTACTCACTGCCTTCACGTGGCGGAGGTGTTTTTCACCAAAGTGAGAGGGCGAAAGCGGATGCCCGGCGCTCTTCACCGGGTTGACTGTCCATTGGATGACAGTCTAGGGGAGATGGCTAAACTCTGATTACAAACCTCCAACGACTGGCGTATGAAGCTCACTGGAGCTCACCGGCAGACGTATGGACAAAGGGCTTGTTGGATGTCCTGGATGTCTGGCCCCATTCAAAAAGGCGTATGAACCGAACTCCGGTCACCGGCTGCCAATGGATAGTGGACTCCCTACTCCACTCCTACTGCCTTGTAGGTCACACTTGGTTGTGTAAAGGCTAGAGCTGCACTCTCAAACAAAAGGCCGAGCGATTCTGGGGACATCACTCGTACCAAATTCCCATGAAACTTCATGAACTCTCTTACCTTGTCGCAAAACCTTGCATCAGATCGCCGCGCCTGGGCAGCGATGATTCGAGATGTTCATGAAGCCGGCTCATCCTTCCGTAGGAGATAGCCGAAGTAAAGTATAAAGTAAAAAAAAGAAGTTCCGAGCACAGTTTATCACTCACAATCATGTAAACACATCAACATGACTGCTTAACTCCCTTCGTGTAGATAACTTTGCTCCCTTCTGTTTTCCAAAATAAGTATTATCCAGGATAGGTATTGTGTCATTTTAAATGCATGTGTATCATGTGTCGACTCAATGAACAAAGATTCGGTGGTTGAATTCCACACCTAACTACTACTAATTAAATTGTATCTTACAGGAGTTTAATAACTGCCGTCCTTCAATTAAATTCACAATGGAAGTTGAAAATGAATCAAAGATTCCATTCCTGGACGTCGAATTGACAAGAAGAGATGACGAAACTCTGAAAAGATCTATCTATAGAAAACCAACATGGAATGGCCAACTGACAAACTTCTACAGTTGGATACCTGTCAGCCAGAAGAATTTGTAGCGATGAATGTTTAGAAGAAGAGTTCCTATTTCTCAAAAGCATCCTGGTTCAAAATGGACACCCACCGCGTTTCGTGGAGAAGAACATGAAACCAAAGCCAAAAAGAGCATACATTTCGGTGCCAAAGAAAACATTGTATTTGAATCAGCAATTCAAGGGAGACCTAGCAGCGGATATCCTTAAAAGGAGAATCTCCAATTCCCTGAAGAAGACTTTTCCTGCAGCAACTCTAAGAGTGATATTCTCTAACCGCCCACTACTTCGGAGCAACGGGAAGGACAGACTTCCGCATATGACCACTTCAGTGTGCATATATCAGTTCACCTGCTCTTGCGGAGCTAGGTACATAGGTCGTTCTATGCGGGTCTTATCAAAACGTGTTAAAGAACATCATCCAGCATGGCTGCAAAGAGGAGGCACTGGTTCAATCAGAAGCGCCATAACTGAACACCTCGTCAATACCTGTTAGAGCATCTGAACTGACTCATCATTCGGAGCCAATTATAAAGTAAACGAAAATCTGTCGAAGGAAGTGTGTTTCCAAATTCTTTGTACTGCGGAAGCTCTCGCCGTGTGCATTGAAAAGCCAGAGCTATGTGTTCAAAAAGAAACTAGTCCAGCCTTTACAACTACCGTGGACCTAGTTAGGTATGTTCACTTATCCTTCAGTTTTTTTTGTTCTCCCTTTGTCTTTATTCAATTCGTCCCAATTTTTTTCATTCATAAAATCAGTTATTTTAAGTTTGTTTCCATGCTCCCCCTTATTACACTTGTAATCCGTTTAGAATAACTATTTTACAATTATATTCTAATCCTGTGTCGTTTTTTTTCTATGCCTCTTGTAATCTATACTCACACCTCTTAACTTACATTTCAAGTTGAAAATTTTGATTTCAATTTCTTTCCATGCTCACTTTGTTCACACCTGTAATTCGTTCTATCCCTGCGTAGCTTTTATTTCTAAGCCTCTTGTAATTTATATCAAGTTGAAAATAATTATCACCTTTTATTCGCCTTTATTTCTCCAATTATCAAATATTAATTTTGCATAGGTTGTAACTGCTATCTAATCCTATGCAATCTTGTATCTAAGCCCCCTTGTAATCTATATTCCTACCTTCAAACTTTCATATCAAGTTGAAAAATGATTATCTCCTTCGTTACTATGTGGAATTAAATAAATAATAATAATAGTATCCATGTAAACTAATGTATATAAATGCGATTGTGCAGCTTTTGAGAATGAAATCTCCGAAAAGACAGATATCTTTGCTGAACTTGTTGTTCTTTTCCCTCTAATATTCTTTACCTCAATCGCCAACTTTCCATAAATTTATCTGCTACTACCAGGGATATCGGTGATCCCATTACTACTCCATTTGTCTGTATGTATGTATGTATGTTTTATCTTGAAATTTAAAGACTGCAGAATTCAAAAGTAATTAAATGCCCAACATTATTTCAACAACCGATAATTTAGTTCTGTATATTTAGGTTGTTCTCGACCAACAGGAAAAATATATCAGTGAGTTGGATAGTAAAAACCAATATAAATAACAAGGAAGCCTCAATATTCGGTCGGTCGGTCGGTTTTCGACATAGAACTTTGCACATATGTGCTGCAGTTCAAGTCGCCACACTCCATGTAGCACACAAAGCAAGAGAAGAAAGTAAGAGAAATGCATAATAATATAGACAGTAAACAGAGGTGTGAGACAAAGGTATAGTAATAACGAAGAACAAAACAATTTCATCGGAAATCATAAGTCACATGGAGTGGATGCATCTGCGCCATTGAAAATTATTTTGAGCCATGTCACCAATTGTTTCCAACCATTGGTTTTTACCGTCTCGAGGACCCCAACCAGGAAGTCTACACCTTCCTACGTGGCTTAGACTAATTGTTGTGGATTTCATTGACTGGTACCATGTTTTCGTTTGACCGCCGTTAGCTCTTTTCCAGCCTGGCCCTATGTCAGCCAACATTGCCCGTCGAGGAAGGCGATGACTAGGCATACGTAATACGTGTCCTAACCATCTCAGTCGATGTAATTTCACAGTTTCGTCGATTGATTTCCCCGCCTTACCTAGCACTCGACAGAAGCCTAACCTCAATATTGCTCACCTTATTATACCACTTCACGCGGGAGATACAACGCAGACACCTATGATCGAACACAGATAATTTTTTCATGTCTTCTGCTCTCAATGGCCAGGTCTCACAGCCATAAAGGAGGACGGAGTGGACTGTTGAGCAGTACACACGACCTTTGGTCGATAGTCAGATATCACGTCTACGCCAGAGACGGCGTAAACTGGCATATGCGAAACTAGCCCTCTATATCCGTGCTGAGATTTCGTCAGAGATCAACCCGTTGGCGTCGGCTGATGGTACTTCCCAAGTAAGTGAAGTGGTCAACGTGCTCTACCACTTCACTTCCTATTTCTAATCTAGGAGTCGGTGTAGTCCAATCCTGCAACATTATCTTACATTTTACAGGGGCGAATCGCATGCCAAACATACGAAGATTGTTGCTCAAGGTGTTCAGAAGACTCTGCATTTTGTCAGCGTCCTCGCCTAGAAGGACTATATCGTCCGCATATTCTAAGTCGACGAGATTATTCCCTGGTAGCAAGTCAATCCCTGAGTCGCTGAAGTGTGTTAGGGTTAAGTTCATTAGTACGTCTATGATGAAGTTGAATAGGAATGGGGATAACCGTATAGGGAATAAACAACAGAGGTCCCTAGTAAAGCTTGAATTAAGGTGGCAAACCAATTTACTTGGAGATAATCTTTTTCGGCTTAAGGATCCAATGGACCCAATTAAGCAAAGCAATATGTCACTTACGAAGTAGTACGTAGTGACAGTGATACAATTACACATGTAAAATAGTAGATCGGGGTCAATTAGGTTATCTGAACATATAAACTTAACATGACTAGGGATGACTGACCCTGTTAAGTCAAGTAACCTTGAAAAAAGAACTTGATCACTGCTACGCATCTACTTGCATGTAATCACAAAATACGGTTGGATACAGTTAAAATATCAAGTAGTCACATAGTTATGCAAAGAGAATAGGAGAGCTTAATTACCGAACCTTTGCTTATTGAGTCAACACGTACGACGGAAACCACTCAACACATCCCGGAAAAATGGGGAAGTGCATCAAAAACAAGAGGGGCGAGGAGGACTAATAAGTGATGAGGATACATTGATATGGTTGCGAGCAAAAAATTGTGATGGATGCATCATTTGTTGTCTAAACTGTATTACTGTGTATTATATTAGACAGAATTATCTAGATAAATAGTAAATACTTCATGTCAAGTAAACCACCTTCGGAAATCTTGCGTCATCCGTCGTGCACACTTATTCCGTCTACTTCAGATAGGTTTTTACTTTGTAGCAGTCTGTTATGAAGTTTTGTATACTTACAAGGGTTAACAGTTAGTCAGTTTCATCTTTCAAATTAAGATTAATCTTGTATATATCTTTCTCACCCAATTCAACAATAGACAGGTCAGAGACTAGACTATAATCACAAAGTTATGCTGCAATTAATTATTGTACAAATTAATTTGGACATGTGGACTGAGCAGTAAACTGACAAAATCTTTGGAAAGAGTACACAGGGTGGGAACCAAATTAGTTAGTGGTACCTCACACTTTCTTTATCATAAGAGGAAGGAGCATTTAAATCTCTTTCCATTATCATACCGAAGGAGGAGAGGTGACTTAATTTTGACATACCGTATATTAAAGGGAGATTCAGAGATTGACCTAATAAACCTAATCTGTCCCTCATTATGGATAAATTTTGTTTTGATAAAGTCTCACAGTGTTATACAGTAATGTTTACTGATGACGTTTCGAGCACAATTTATTGTTCATAATCATATCATAGGACTTTAACAAAACGAAATTTACCCATAATGGAATTACACTCTACCACAGTGCACAAGTTTTATTCTTTTCTCTCCCTGTAAGATACATTTACGAGGTCATCACAAGAAGGTGCTCAGACCGAGGTCGAACAAAATACGTGTGTAATTTAGATACTCTTACAGAGTGGTCAACGACTAGAACCTTATCTGATTCAGTAGTAACAGCTCCATCGGTGAACGCTCTCAAATAGAAACTAGATCTCTGCAGAGATATATATCGCAAGGATTAACATAGGGAACAAGAGCCTTCTATCCTTATTATCTGAATATTGGTGACAAACTCTTTTTTATACCCTCCCTATAAGTTTTAGGACATTTAAGTTTCTATAAGAATGAATATGGAGAAAGTAATAACTAAGGGTGGGAAAACTTTTCAAGGTAGACTTATTACCCAACTTACCTCTTTGTCGTCTACTGCTTTTTCTGGTATATCAACATCAACATAGGAATCATTTTCTATCGACTTTACACAACTCAAAAGTGATGCAGCAAACACAAGAGGCTTGAAATCTTCCAGTGCAAAATACTCCTGAAGACATAGTTCCCAAGCAACTGCAACTGCACAATTCCATTGGCCTTTCTTAGAAAATGAGTCCATCAAAAGGACAGCTGATACAAAATCAACGAAAATTCCTGTTTTTGACTACAGAGTTTATAAATAGTTACACATACCCTTTCTTCAATTAATTTTAACAACCTATCCTCTTCTTGAAAGCTCATATAAGTTCGGATAAATGCATGGGGAGTTGAGTCTCTCAACTTGACTGCTGACTGAGTATTCATGAAACTAGAGTGTAATCGAAAAACAAAATATTTTCAAACCTTTTCATTACATTTTCAATGAAATCTAAAAATGTTATGTCAAGTTCATGTGTCCTGTTTGCAAACTATATTAGTGACTATCAAACTAAGTTATATTACTGTATCATATTCAATAGGTGAAACGTCCTGCCCGGAGTTAATGATTTGTAGTAGCTTTATTCCAAGGTCACCTGTAAAAGTAAACATTGCACGTATTGGTCCTTACGCGGTGAAACACCTTTGAAAATATCATGTGACAAACGAACATCCCATAAATCGGTAGCCGTGTAGTTGGCAGGTAAAAAGCATCGACATGGTGTTTTCGACACATACCCATACTGCTTAGTAAACAAACTAAAAGCAGTACTCTGTCTTAACAAGCGAATCATCAGGAAAAACTGTCCTTGAAATGAAACGCAATACTTATTATTGGCGGGATTCCAATATCAGATTTCAGATTTATTGGTTGGGGATAGAAGGCTTGGAGCCTATGTTAATCCTTTTCTGGTAAATTTCTGTGGTTGTCCAAACCCTTCTTGAACGAATCAACTTAGGTTGCAGACACCACTTCTTCTGGGAGTCGGTTCCAAGAGTTTATGACTCGGTGTGAGAACCAGTACTCAACAGCAATATGATTTCTTCTTGGCTTTTGAACTCTCCTGCTATGTACTCTAAGGTGTTCCGACCTGGTGGGAAGGAAAAGAGAAAACAGGTCAGGTCCGTAGTCATTATTTAAAATTTTAAACATTGTGATTATATCCAATGTCTTTTTTAGAAGCTGGTATAAACCAATTTGATTTCTTTGTGCTCGCATCTTGATTGTGAAGTAAATGTATCTGATCCTCGGTAAACTTCTGCTCAGTTCGTTCAGCCACTCGACTGTTGCAGCTTTGGTTGGCTCCAAAAGGAGTAGTGCTTTGTTTAATTATAGGCTGTTTGTAGTATGCGGTGTGTTAAGACTGTTACTATTGTGAATGGGGTTGATCCTTTCACTAATTGGTCCTCCGGTATCATCGTCAAAAGAAAAGAGGTAATAATAACAGATATACGTAGTGTAGGTTATTCACACTAAAAGTAGAAAGAGAAATAAAGAAAAAGTAAAAAGAGACAGCTGATTAAATTGGAAGTTGATATATATATATGCATATATAAATAGGTATATAAATGTGTATAATATCAATAATAATAAGTGAAAGTGTAGTAGTTGGAGTTGTCAGGATAGTAAGACAGGAAAGAATGTGAAGTAGTAAAACGATGAATTTGGTTGTCTACCCCTTATTAGTGTATGAGACTTCAAGGAGATAGGCCGTCTGAACCCAGTCTTTGTGCCGCTGCATGATTATCCAGCCTTTGCTTAAAGCTGTTCACGGATAGTGCCGTAGCTACAGCTGCCGGTAAACAGTCCCAGGGATGGCAAACTCGCATAGAAAAGAATTGGGTGCAGACTCGAGTCTTTGCCCTCTGGTGACCTATCGTTAGGGAATTTCCACAAGGAAGCTCATACGTACTTAATGGCAGAACAATCTTGTTTCGGTTTTTCTGGTCATTTTTATCTTATAGGCGGTAATTAAATGCCCCCTAAGTCGATGGTAGCTAAATGTGAATATGTTTAATTTCTTTAGCCTTTCACCATGCGGTTTATTTCAGAGACTAACCACTCCTTTTGTCGCCCATCTTTGGACTATTTCGAAGAGTTTCGCGCCTCTTCTAAGCAGTGGAGGTGTAGTGATATTATGTAATTCGAGGTGTGTTTTCACGTATGTTTTGTACAACCTTAGAAAGAGCTCAGGAGTGAGTGCATCTAACTGTCTATGTGTAAAGTGTATGACCGCATATGCCTTCGCTACATCCCCCGTGTAATTCACGCTTGTGTCCATTTTTTCCGTTAGAACTAAACCTAAGCGACGCTCCGACGTTGTGCAGGACAAGCTTTCATTGCACAAGGTGTAACTTGCATTCTGCAGTCTACAGGTGCGTAACTTCACTACTTTGCACTTTTTCAGGTTGAAAGTCACACCACTGGCTACCGCCCAGTCTTCGAGAGGCTTTAAGCATGCTTACAGTCCTGAGTCTTCCGAACACTTTATTGCCCTCCATATCTTTACGTCGCCAGCGTATAGAAGAGTCAGGCAGCTTAAACAGCATGGCAGATCATTGATAAAAATCAAAAACATCAGTGGCTCTAGGATAGAGTCCTGCGACACTCCTGATGACGAGCTGTGCCAAGATGACCAGACTCGATTGACTTTAATGCTTTGAGCAACTCGTACGAGTTACTTACCTCTGGACTCGACATCTGTACGGTTACGCACCTGCTGAATTCCCGTGGTAGGGCGTGAATAACTGCGAGGAACTGTGAACGTTGATCGGTTATGCCATGCTCACAAAAATCAGACTCAGCTATCTGAAACCACGTCTCAGCATTATCTGGCCAATATGGTACGAGCTGAATTGTTTTGGCAGTTGAGCGAATACGAACAACCTTGGGGCTAGGATCACTCATGATGAAATGTATGCCGATTACAAAAGAGTGCAAGAACAAACACAAAAAGGAACGAACTCACCGGGTTTATCTGCGTGTTTATTGGAGATGAAGTTCGTGGTTGGGCTCACCAGTTTAGGGGCTGATGGTATCGACGTTCGCGAGTTGTACGGATTATACTAACGCAAGATCTTATACCAACAACTTCTACAGTGTTCGCACTTCGAGTACCAAAGACAAAACAAAAGACCACATTTAGTCGTCCAAAGTACGTAATATATTTCGGGACCAAATCGCGGGCTGAAGTGAATTCTTAGCTGGCTAGTGATCGTGCGCGTACGCGAAACGACGGAGTACCAAATGGCGGGGATGCTTGACCGGAAGCCTTCAGCTCAACAAGTCGACTTAAACAGTGAGGGTCAGCATCCAATGTTGAGTGATGACTGCTGTGGTCAATAATTTTGGGGAATTATTTACCGCTACAGCCTTCTTCAAAAAGGTGCCTAATGACAAACTACAAGAGTTTGCAAACGATAGTAGTTCTAGTTCCTATCTGAGAGCCTCCGAAATTATAGGTCCATTTAATTTATAAGCTTAAATATTTATACCTGTAGTTTTTTGCCTATATTTATAACTCTAGATAAAACATTAACGGTTAAGATACGTATCCTCAAACAGACAAGAAATCTCGTTTGTAAAACTACTACCCAACACAATAAGTGGAATAAAATGGACATAAACCGACAACATGAAAGAGGTATAACTCACCACAACATCACATGGACAGATGTGCGCTCGTTGGGCACCATATATCCGTCACCAACTGCAACCCACCTTTCCTTAGATAATGTAATGAACTTATATCCATAATGTTGCTGAGCAGTTAATATTCTCAACTGCTGTTGGAACAAGTGAAATTCATAAACCTTCCTCACGCTAGGAAAATACACACAAGCAGTAGAAATCCATAAATTAATGCGTCTGAAGCGTATGTATTTACTCCCAACAATGACATTGCAGATCAAATGAGATAAACACATCACTGATTTCAAAATAACACATCAATGAACAATAATTCAAGGATTCTGCACACAACGAAGTTATGTATGAAAATTGACTTCAAGCTTTATTTTTTCTCCCAGGCACTTATAATCCATCCACCAAAGACCCGGTTTGTTTTGTTAATGCGAAGACAATACTTCTGTATTTCCTGTTGTGTTGCACTCACTGACTATCTAGCAGATTTTTCCAACTGTGCACAGAAATGATTGTATATAAGTGAAAAGGCTGTTTTATACTACTGGGATTAACATTTATCAAGTGTATGTATAATCTCCAGCGAACATGTAAAGCATACCTTGCTACCGCCTGTAAATTGTGATTGAATTATATGGTTCTATTTCTGTAACAATTTGATGATGCCTGTAAACTGGCGTCCCTCATGTACTGTACTATGAGAATAAATTTATTTATTCATTTATTCTATGGGCCATTCTGTGTCAGTCGGGCTGAGGTATCCCTTTAACGGGTTTTACTAAATTTTGGCTATGTGGTGTCATCAGGTGGAGGGCTTCGTGAGACTGTGTCGAGACGGAAAAGTAGGGTGCTGTTTCTGTCACCTGGAGCCACTCTGTATGAGGCTGTGCCAGGGCGACAAAGTGGGCAAATTTACCAGAAGCGCCGGCACGAGTTATTTCTCACAATATGGTTTCGGCACTCCTTTATCACAGAGGCAGTGCACCCATCGTTTGCGAAAGATGCATTGAAATAGTGAGCCAGTTTTATAAACAATAACATTACAGTCGTTTCCTTTTCTAGAAGACTCGTTTGAGGTATTATGATCTGCTAAGTGTTTCTTTTTTTGCTGTGTTTCACACACTGGCTTCCTACGAATTTAGGTGTATTATCATACCAATTTGGTTTCGCCTGCTCAGTTTCAGTGTTGGACTGTGGCAATGCGAGCATAGTATCAGAACATGGGGTCTTTAGAATTGGTATGCGAGATGGAGTTGATTTCCCTGGATTGTTGCCTCCTCTGGCTGAAGCCTTTGTGACTACATAATATGGTGTTTCAGTGCTTTTTAAGGCTACTTTCAACTACTGTATTAACATTCACTATAATTTATGCTTACATATGAAGAAGAGATAGCAAAAGTATCTGTCCAGTAGAACAAGAATAAAAAGTTTGACTAAGTATAAGATAAGGAAAATGAAAGGTTCTCGAAATTACCTACTACTTTTTGGTCACTCGGATTCACAGCAATCTCGTCACAGACCTACAAACATTGTTCGTCTGAAGGAGTGAGAAAGATGCTGCTACGAATGCTACATTTGACTCTTTGGCAGTGGTTGGAGGCAGCTGGACTTACCACACAGAGATCTAATGTGGAAGTAATGGATGAATTTAGTTCACCTGCTGGGAAGATCAGATTTCCCAATCAGACAATTCGCAAAGTAGAAATTTTCTGGTTAGAGAACAAAAGTACATCGTGTTCAAGATCGATACTTGTATGAGTCTTTATGGATGTGACATCTTACACTTCAGTTAGCCTGTTTTGCTTATCGAAATATGTTTATGTACAACGGAAGAAACATCATGCGCTGCAGGTGTTCTGTTTCTACGTGAGTCATGTTTCATTATTCTTTTAGAATTTAGCCGCATTCCTCCCAATATCCACGTATCCATACTTAACCATGACTGTATTGTGTCACCTGGAACCATATATAGTATTCACTTGTAGAATCTACAACCCGTAATCTTCTGATACCCCTTCCAACTACGTGGGACTAAGGATTTTATCCCCGGGCAGCACTGTTAAAGGAATGTCTGACTTTTTATTTTCTAATATATAGCTGTTTATCAATAGTACAAAAAACATTCTTTATATCCTAAAGACTTTTTTCCAGAAATTGTGTAAATTCTTGTTTCTGTGAATGTTAAGTCTGTTAAACGTG